TATAGTTTTTCATGCCAGAAGGCCTAAAAGTCTGGGCATAGCAAAAAAAAAAAAAAGAGAGAGAGAGAACTGTAGTAACATATCAACAGAATCAGCACATATGTAGGTAGAAATGCGTGCTTCAACATGTTTTATTTTCAACAACATTTGATATTATTACAAATATGTACATTCTATTAAAGTAAAGATAGTAAGACAACTACTGCATATTTCTTGTGTTGTCATTCTACTGAACAACTTTCATAATAGCATTATTGTTATTTTTACCACAAAAACGTTCATTCAGAAACTAATAGTATTTACTTATACTGTGGGTGGTAATTTTGGTTACGTCCTTTCAACCTCAACGTGTTTGACGACAACCAGGGGTGTTCAGAAGCTTTTTTCTGCTTCTCTTCAACCACGCTGCTTGGTGAGGGATGTACATAATTGTGAGTATTATAGTTTGGCCTGGATTTGGTTTGACCGGGTCTGGAGCATACATTAAGCTTAGAAAATCAGGCAGCGGCGCCTTTGAAAATGCGTCGGGTGGGATAAAGCACTAGGGCTAAATATTTTGGGTGGGGAAGGAGCCCATCTGTCGGTCCTTTTCAGGGCTAAGAGGAGGACCGTGGTCCAATTCTCAGAATTTTGCTGTGGGGGAAATGGGAGTACCCCCAGAAAACCCACTTTCACTGGTCAGGCACCGAATAATCTACCTGACCAGTGCCCAAAGTTGAAAAAGAAACGAATAAGTAAAGTTGTTTAAACATTTGTTTAACAACAAGTTAAAGCTTGGAATGGGGTGTATGTCTATGAGCCAGACTAGTATTTAATATTTCATCTGATTAAATATCCAATAGAATTACAGACATCAAATGTATTTATCTCATCAGAAAGAATGGAGTCACAGACCTCAACTATCCTACCACAAACAGAGCCAATAAGAACTAACCAGATATTAATGCCCTATCACAACGACTTCTATTGTTCTACTACAACCAATCACAGACTTCAACTATCCTACCACAAACAGAGCCAATAAGAACTAACCAGATATCAATGCCCTATCACAACGACTTCTATTGTTCTACTACAACCAATCACAGACTTCAACTATCCTACCACAATCAGGGCCAATAAGAACTAACCAGATATCAATGCCCTATCACAACGACTTCTATTGTTCTACTACAACCAATCACAGACTTCAACTATCCTACCACAAACAGAGCCAATAAGAACTAACCAGATATCAATGCCCTATCACAACGACTTCTATTGTTCTACTACAACCAATCACAGACTTCAACTATCCTACCACAAACAGGGCCAATAAGAACTAACCAGATTTCAATACCCTATCACAACCAGACTTCTGTTGTTCTACTACAACCAATTACAGACTTCAACTATCCTACCACAATCAGAGCCAATAAGAACTAACCAGATTTCAATGCCATATCACAACCAGACTTAATTGTTCTACTACAACCAAACACAGACTTCAACTATCCTACAACAACCAATCACAGACTTGCTATCCTACCACAATCAGGGCCCTAAATTACCTTACAACAACCATTGACAATAATTTCTTTTCCACAACCAAGGGTTGTACAGTGTCAATCAATAGGTCATATAGATTTTAAAATGTATGACTTAAAACTCTTTAATTAATTAGTTTATTACAGATTTCAACTGACTTACTCCACACTAAAACAAAACATAAATAATTGAAACCTTCAATTTACTTTATTTAATTAAAAACTCATTAAGAATTAATTAAAAGCATCCACTTTGTCACCTCATTATAAGCACATACAGTTTAAGCTAAATAGTTTAACTGTCTCACCTCATCAAAGCTCCATACAGAGTCAATTCTTGGCTTGATCTTGCCTTCTTCGTAAAGTTGAATTAAATGTGCCATCACTTCCTTGACCCGAGTGGGATTATTCTCGGTGAGCGTTCCCATGTTAAACCCACACACAGCATGATTATTCTTTGTCAAGTTCAACAAGCTCACGTTTTTCATTTGCCACCAGACTTTCAGTGCTCGCAGCAAGCTGCGTTTCTCTCCTCCAATCATGTTACTGATTCCTTGAATGTACAAAAAAAAACAGCTACTTACATCATCATTTTGTACTCCAATATTATTTATAGTAACACGAGACTTGTGATACAGACAATTTGTCTGCATTCAGTGCAGTTTTAAATAACTTGTAAATCTGTGCTTTGTTATGAGGAAAATGTTTTAGTGTTTGCTAATATCATGTAGTTACTACATAACCATACTTGATAACTAATAATAATAGCTAGCAACTGTAAAGTGGACTGTTGTTATTTTTCTTAGCACAAAGCAACACAATGACCTATCAGCACTCTGTCCACCAAGGGAAATTGAACCCCGAATTTATATGTTGGAAGCCCTTAAACTTACCATTGAAAAGTGGGGGGCATAAAGTGGACTGTCAATGAAAGTGTCTTAGTCTCTAATTTTAATAGTATTTTTTTTATTAACAGATTACTCCGAATTTAACATTTAATTACAATAATTAGAATCCAGATTATATTTAATTTGATTTGATTTTTAAGTTTTAAAAATGGCTTGTATTATCCATTTGTGACAAAGATGTTCTTTATAAAAGTGATGACTGTATCACAACCCAGTGGAAGCTGAAGTATTTCAAGATCTAGCCTTGCAAATATTACTTTGTGCAAAATACGATGATGTTTCTGTAAAAGAATCATGCAGGTTTACGAAACTGTAAAAGAACGAGTCAGTTTACTATGATCCTTGTATGTAATTGTATTATTAACAATTAACAAAGAAATTAATTATCTATCTTACTATATTTTCAGAAACTGCTTACAAAAATAATCTTTCTTTTGTCACTGCTCTTTAGGTGATGCATTTAATTTAGAATACATTTTAACTTAATTGTTTTATTCATCACAAGTTGTAGCTATAATTTCTTTTTCTTCAAACAATTATATGCCATCACTGTGTATGGCAATAATCTCACTGATATTATGTTTCATCACACCTGAAAACCTGTACCGAGTCAATTAACCAGAACTGTGTATGGCCATATACTGAGTCATATCATGATATTTCATCACATCTGAAAACATGTACCAAGACAGTTAACCAGAACTGTGTATGGCAATAAAGTCAGTCATATCATGGTATTTCATCACATCTGAAAACATGTACCGAGTCAGTTAATCAGAACTGTGTATGGCAATATACTGAGTCATATCATGGTATTTCATCACATCTGAAAACATGTACCGAGTCAGTTAATCAGAACTGTGTATGGCAATATACTGAGTCATATCATGGTACTTCATCACATCTGAAAACATGTACTGAGTCAGTTAATCAGAACTGTGTATGGCAATATACTGAGTCATATCATGATATTTCATCGCACCTGAAAACATGTACCGAGTCAGTTAACCAGAACTGTGTATGGCAATAAAGTCAGTCATATCATGGTATTTCATCACATCTGAAAACATGTACTGAGTTAATTAACCAGAACTGTGTATGGCAATATACTGAGTCATATTTCATCCCACTGGAAATTGTAAAAATGAAACATGCTTATCAACTTTATCACTAGTTATTAAGCAAAAATTTTAATTTCTATATCTTTACTTCAAAGTGTTTAGATGTTCTAACAGTTAACCAATGCAAGTTTCTATAAACAAAAGTAACACTTATAAACTACAAGTTAACAGTGTGAAAGTTTAATGTACTCGTTTACCCACATACAATTTTCATTTGGATAAATAGTGTTAGTAGTGAAACTTGATGATCACAACTATGTTTTTTAGTCTTACTTATGCATTGTACAATTCTGTATGACATTCACAGTATTCAACAGCTTTTATCCTGAAATGACATTGTCACAAGCGGCTTCTTACAAAACATTTTAGATAGAGTGTTTATTAGTTTCTCTTTTAGCCTTTTCGTACTATTGAAGTTTGAAGAAAATTTTTCAGAAGATTAATATTTATCTCTAATTATTAAAATAAACTGAAATTCATAGCAACTTTTCCCAGTAGCATTGACTATTTCTAATTTATGTGTTAGACCATATTCGTTGGAAGTATAATTTTGTTGTAAAAAAAACATTTACATTTTTTTCAATTTTACTAATTATCCATTTAGAAAGAAAAAAAAGGTTTTGTGATTTGATGTACCTAATTATCTTAATCATATTTTCTCTGTTCCCTTATTTTGAATGTTGCATCTTGAGGTTGGATACAGAATTTATCACCTTAATTAAGGTGTGAAGCTAATATACTGATGACAGTAATATATTAACAGTGTACTAAACTGAAGTTAGTTGTTTTCTATATTTAAAATTTCGCATTCCCAAGTCACTAAATAAACTATACAATGTTGTAATATTTGTAGATATTATATTACTTTAAATCATGACAGCTTATGGTAATTATGATTAACTTCTAGCATATTCAATAATCCATAGTTTACAAAGTACCCACTTCCAACATCTAAATAGTAAGAACGTGCAATTATGCACTTCAATATTACATACATCGAGACCATACTAAAACTATTATTGTAACAATTTTATCAAGAAAATCAAAACAAATGCTTTTAGTAGTAAGCTTTCTATACCACAAGTAATAATAATACTACAAACACTGAAACTTTAAAATAGAAGTATACTTATAATTTTGAGCAAATGATAACCCTTTTAACACCAAATTCATCATTATTTTTAATTGGTCACTCAACATCTCACTTTACAGCTTCTTCAGGAGCATTCCACTAAAACTCAAACTATAATTGATAATAAAAGGGTTACAAAAAAACTTTGTACTGTCAGTTACCGTTTATCTTTTAACGGAATGCTCCTGAAGAAGCTGTAAACCAAGATGTTGAGTGTCCAATTAAAGAATTTGGTGTTATAAGGTCTATTATTTCTAGCATTAAAATGTATTTTATACACCAATATGTACTACAATAAAATAAATGACAACCCTTACCAACATGAATCAAGCGGCCCATGTGCTTCAATACCTTCTGAGAACGAATGAAGTCAGAGCCAGAGAGAGAATCAACAATTATATCCACACCTGGAAAAAAGATTGATTAGATACATGTATTACTTCTGGTGATACTATTTCCAGTAGATTATTCTACAGACTGATTAAAACTGTGTTTCTACTTTCTTATTCTACTACTGAGGTGATAAAAGAAACCCAGTACAACTGCTGTAAAACCAGTTCACCAATCAGGTAGATCAAGAATAGTCATCCTCACAGTTCTCTCACATGCTAGAAGAAACATGGGGAATTATTGATGAAAGAAAAGAATCTTACTATTAAAGATACAAAGTTATTTAAATTGTACTTCAATTAGATATAGAAAAAATGATCACTTTAAATTCTTAGGTTTACCATTATTATAATTACTGAAATCTTTCACTCTCGCAAATAAAGTATTTGGAATCTTGCTGGATACCATACTGATTCCTCAAAAAGAAAGGATATTCGGCTTCTTGAATGTGCTAAACAATAAATGAGTAAGACGGATACGTAGAGGTCTGGCTAGATATGTTAGAGACAGAGATGAAAAATAGTGGTGAATACTGTAACCTGTAGACAACATGCCACACAAAAAATGTTAAACATTCCAAAATTTCATTTCTATGCAGCTCCAAAGGCCTTAGATGTAAATAAGGCATTTATTTATTAAGTTTTCTTAGAATTTTCTGCCCATCCCAAATAAGAGGTTTATATAATTAATACTTGAATTGTCTTGTTTTTTTCTCAATTCTGTAGTTAAAAGTTTATATTTGCTAAATACTATTATCTCTTGAAAATATAATGATTCATAACTTGTTTAACAAATGATTTTTTCTTTGTTTCCACTATTTAATGCAGTTTGAACAATTACGTATGAAACTAGGCCTTGAAAATAACTAGATTCCACAACTGTGTAGAAATTATGATATACCTATATCAATTAATTAACTAACTTGTAGGCTGGGTACCCAGAAAATGTTAAAGTGTCACTCCATATGGAAAAGAAAATGTCACAACAAGAGCACTTACCTGTCGGGGCATGACTTTGAACCTCCTGGACAAAATCAGTAGAATGATAATCAATAGCATGGGTGATGCCATTTTCACGAATAATTTCATGCTTAAATGCAGAGGCTGTTCCAAAAATGACCACATCTTCTACAGTCTTGCAAAGCTGTGTAACAGCCCACCCAAGGCCACCTGTAACAGTTATAAGTATATGAGATACCGCAAGCAAGTTTCCAGCCTAAAGTGCATAGACAAAACATTACTGTTTATACACTCACAAGAGTAAATATTTAAACACTCAGGATCAAAAAAGTTTGGTAAATCACATTAAAAAAATCAAAGAACCCTAG